TACATGTACACACTTTCTCTTTATCTCGCTCTCTTTGTGTCCTGCTCCTGCACAAACACAGGCCAGCCATCACCACTGTAGGTTCCTGCATTCCCTATATGAATAGAAGGACCTTGGCTGTCCCGATTGAAAAGCTGATTCGTCATTGAAAAGGAAGCCCTTGTCCTTACATTGCTCTGCCTACTGCACTGATGGTGTACTAATGGCAACATCAGTCCCCATCTGTTGTCCATCATTTGGATTCAGGGCAGGGCCCGTCCCAGCAGATACATCCGATTAGTCCCTCTCATCGATTTGTGCTGGCTCGTCATGACTTAGTCAACCCAAGGTGTCTCTTCTATGACATGCTGTCTCCCTGTGATTTAGTTTGCCAACGCTCTAAGTGCATTGAGTGTGACAATAAAATCTTTAATCTAATATGCATTCTAAAGAGGGAGACAGCGGAGAATTAAGAGCGAGAGAGGGAGCGAGACAGAGAAGGGAGGTAATGTTCTCGATGAGCTCAGATGTAATGAGAAAGGTTTGTGTCAAGTTTATGAATAGACAGGATACAGACACTAAGGTTTGGAATGCTACACTTGCTTTTTGATCCTGACTGGCAAATGTGTGACTTCAGGTGTACGATGTGTTCATTAAATGGTTTGTCACTCTTGATTTCTTCAAATTATGAATATTCACAAGTGCCATCAAGTGCTTATTTCCCAACTCCTTTTTGAGCCCGTCTCTTCTTGCATAAAGGACAAATAAGATTATTATCAATTCAAATTTCACATCTGTGCTCTGAAGAGGTGAAATCGTATTTTCTGCTCCCATGTTACACAGCCTAATCTGCATTCGCAGTTTGAAGCATACGATAGTGTGAAGCATACGATTGTGTGGATGGGGTTAGGGCACAATGAATGCACAGTGCTTTCTGTAATTCTAACTGACAACTATCCCATTTCCTGGGATAGTGAGAGAGCATCATATTTATGGATTCGTGAGCTGTGTATCAATGAGATTTGGTACTACACTGTGTGAATAGATCATTACATAGATCTCCGATACACTGCTTGATCTGTTGTATCCAGGCAGCAACCTCCGGGTCGGAAAAGTGAAGCCAATGCAGAAGTGACTTGAATTCTTTCTAATGGCCATCAAGGGGCGACTTGCGAAAAGAAGTCAGATTGTATAGAAGTCTATGAGAAAATAACTCTACTTCTCACTTGATGTATTACCTCAGTGAACATTGTAAACATGAGTTCATGGTCTCAATCGCTAGTTTCAAATCTTCTTCAATACAGCATGATGTTCATACTCCCATTTAGAGTAAAACTGACCAAAAAGAACAGTATGCCTTAAATCGGGCCTACCTTGTGATTGACAGATCGCTACCATGGCAAATAAATTATTGTAACATTTTGGTGCCTAAATTTTCTTATTCAGCATTGGGTTACTCATAGACTGTGTATAAGAATTGAACATAGTCATCGTGACGACACTCATTGGTTTGTGGACTGCCGTTTTGATGCCTTGAGTTTGACTTTTTTCGGCGTCGCCATCTTGGATTACGCTGTCGCCATGTTGTTTATTTTGCAACTGATAAACGGAAGGTACTCTATTTGGAATGACAGTAAGCTCCGCCCTAAAGCATACTCCACTTTATGATCTATTTTACTCTAAAAGGGACCATAATTTACGAAATGAATATCATGTTCTGTTTATGACACTTCCACATTGACTTCACTTGGCAGAAAAGGAGGTTGCCGCCTGGTTATAATTAGCTCCACCCTCTCTTGTCACTTGAAGGCGAACGACCAAACTGCTGATCTCGAGGCTTCAAAATTTCATGTACAAACCAATGGTTTGTAGACATCGTGATGAGTACGTCCACTTCTTATATGCAGTCAATGGCTGTATCCCAAGGCTGCTCTGTGTCTCAGTAAACAGACATAACATTAGAGAAATGTTGCACCACACAATACATTCAGTAGTAATGTACTGTAAAATTGAAGGATCATTCTGTAGAAATTTGATGATGAGGGAGGAGGAATTTAAAGGTGTCTTGAGAGCAGATTTAATGTTTCCTTTTTATATTTTATTATGGTATTAAAAGCAAGCCATTATACCTGTAAGGTGCCACTTTGTCTGCATCCACTCAGCGATTTATATATCTCTTTTAATGTAAGGGCATCTCATTGACTGATTAGTGAAATCCACATCTAATGGATACAACGGATGTCCATTGAGAGAAGGCGAAAAGATTAGTTTTAATTAATGCTTTGCCAAGCAGTGTGGTATGTTTTTGCTGCTGTCACACACCTCTAATTGACAGATATTTTCAAGAGAAATGTTCAAAGGATCCTTTTTGCTTTTCATGTCCGTAATTGCCTGTTGGCATGCCTGACCTGCCGTGTTGACACCAGACATACCGAGCCACATTTTCACATCTTTTTAATGAGTCGGTGTTACGATGCTGTCTCTAATTGTGCTGTTGGCAAAAGAACAATAGCATTTAAAA